AATAATAATAATAATAATAATAATAATAATAATATTTGCATTTCCGATGCTGATTTAGGCATTCTTTGTAACTGCAAATAATTGTTAATAAAAATGTCAAAGTTTTAAAAATAAATAACTATAAATCCACTGTAAACACCTTTTAAAAACACTCCAATACAGCTAACTGCCACAATGTTTACAAAATGGCTATTATACGTTATATATTAACATCACTAACATAATCTTAACCCCAAGGAGATAAAACATGTTCGGAAGTATTTGGGCTTCATCGGTAACGTATTTATCTCGCAGATAAAAACTGTTCATAGGAGTACACGGTGGGCAGGAAGCAACTTTAAATCGCATAAAAATGACAACAAACTGAAAGATGCGATATATTTGTACTTGAAAATAGAGTCAAAAGCAGTTTGAATTGAAATCCTAGCTGCTCCTGTTTGTAAGATATTCTAATTTTTGTTTCTTTTTTATAAGAAAATTTTTTGAAATATCACAAGAGGTAAGAATTATGATGGTTAAAAACATTCTTATGGAATTTTGAATAGATAATGTTTTAAATTTTGTATAAGTAATGAATTTTGAATAAATAATAACTTATATATGAAAGATCAATTTTTGACATGTATACACACACATGCGTGCGCGCAAGTTTATTTTTTTTTTTAATTACGAAAATTAGTTATTCTACCGTAGGTATTGTATAATTTATCGCCAAGAAAATATGGTTATATTGATTGTAATTAGATGGCGCTTTACTATCCACAATCGGAAAAGTGAAATTTCAAACATACGAGTATATATAAGCTTTTTTTTTGCATTGTAGATTTTCTTTTTCTAATTGCAGGTGTCATCAAATATATTTATCTAAATATCGATTATTATAGCAGTTTGTTTGGGAAATAATCCATGTCTCTTCTGCATTTGATAAAAATATTCATGAGCTTGCTTTAAAAATCACAGATGTTTTACAAACCGTTAAAAATCTATGTTATTCTAGATCATTTGAAACAAGCAATTGTGCTCTTCAACAAGGATGGCTTAGGAGTATGGTCTGAACAAGCTGGGGAAGCGATTCACAGAGTTTGTTAAAATTTTGGGAAATATTTAAAATAAATTTGATCGAAGATCAATCTTTACCAAAACGATTAAAAAAAGCAGTAGCTGCTTTTTCATCTTAGCACATCTAAAATTACATTTGAGCTTCTATACCATATAATTTGAAAATATTGACCTTAATTACAAACATTTATTTTTTTGTTCTGTATTATTCTAAAACTTTAATTATTAAAAAATGATAAAAAAAAATAAATAAAATAAAAATTAAAAAAAAAGAAAAGAGGTGGAATGTAAGTAACCTCCTCCACGTGGTGCACCTTGGAAACGTGTAAAATCATGTAAAAACTTACTTGCAAGGGTATGTATAATATGTCCGAGGCGTCCAGAGACGCATGTGAATGAGTGGCCCTTCACACACAATGATATGCCTGGCCTTATATTCTTTGGATATTTTATACTAAATAGATACAATATATATATTTTTTCATAGTTTAATTCATTATTTATTCAAAATTTGGCATAGTTTTTAACCATCGTGATTCTTAAATATTGTATATATCACAAATTCTCGCTATAAAAA